CTCGCGAAGCGTACTCTCACATTCCCCACACATCGCAAATGTCTCTCTTAGTCTTGTACCTTTACATATTTGTCCGTAGTGCGGTCCGCAAAGTCACAGAGGTGAAGCAGGACGGACACGCCGATGTTTCTCGGATGGACGACCGATTGTGAGCCCTGATAGGAATAAAAGGCAAAGACATGACAAATTGACGGCGCTCAAGGAGAATTAGTGTTCACGGCCAAATAAAGGCCGCTTAGAACGATTGTTACGAGAACCATTGTAATTGTTGGCACCGAGGTCAATTGTAACCTTTGATCACTTCTTGATGGTTCCATTGTTCGGCGTGTAGGGTTCTAGTTCCTCAGCTGTATACACAATTGTCTGCCAGTCCAAGCGACGGATTAGGGCATGGAGGGGGACTTGGAAGGTCAACACGTGCTTGCTTTATACGAGTTTCAAACTCACAGGCTTAGTGTCCAAGTACATTGGCTCACCCGTCTCACGACCTAATCATTTAACCATATTATTGTAAAAGTATTAAGGCCTCGCATCATAATAATTTGATTAAACCAATATAACTAAAACTGACATTTGTACGCCTCCCTTAATGTGCTTTGTAATAATGAAACTATAACTTTGTATTCAGTATTGAATCAGAACAACTTTGACATTATTCACTTCCACAGCAACAATGCAAACAAAGTTATTTTAGCATCAAATTCTTTCAAAACCACACTCGTTAATGAACTAGTTCCTCAAAATCAATGATATTTACAAATAATGTAGAACACAACACACAGCAGAAATATAGCAATCACATAAAAAGGTTTCTGGGGTGATTAGGGCCGCACGACGGGTATTGGTAGATTGGACGCGGAATGGTAGAATGGGACGTTGTCAAGGTCTTAGAACAAGGGACATTCCATTTTGAAATTTTAATACTCCGAGATCCACAGTGGCTAGAGGGTGCCGAGAATACCTATTTTCAGGCATAATTTCTCACCCCGGATTACAGAGTAGACAACGGCTTTCACTTAATGACCGAGAGTAGAGCCGTTTGCTTAGAGTTGTTAGTACTAAGAGACAAGCAGCTATATGAAATAGCCGTAGAAATCAACGGCGACGATCGTATTAGTTAGGATAGAGCGGCGAAATTTAGTTTTAATGGGCTATGGCATCAAAAGACCCTACTCGACGCTTCTCCTGGGCTCCTGACCCTAGACAACTGAAAAACCATGGCTTGGTCAGATGAGTCCCAATTTAGTTGCTAAGAGCTGATGCTAGTGTTCGAGTGTGGTGTAGACCCCACGAAGCCATGGTCACAAGTTGTCAACAACGCAGTGTGCAAGCTGGTGGTGGGTCCATAGCGGGGTGGGCTGTTTTCACATGGAATAGATTGGGCAGTAGCGTAACGAAATGAGAGCGGGCCCCCTTATCAAAGTGTATACAAAACAAGCCTTTTTTAGAGCCTTAAATAATAAAAATATCCTTTAACAAATTCATATCCATTACTCCATGATTACTACATGGACAATTGCAAAGCCTTATGCTCGCAATTATTACAATTGCAAAACCTTCAGTCCAAAAAGAGGCCCTTTTACCTGGGCCCGCCCCCACCGCGGGCCCTCTGGTCCAACTGAACTAATAATTGACTAAACATATTTATTTTCGGCTACTTGCAGCCATTCATGGACTTCATGTTCCCAAACAACAATAGAATTGTTATGGATGACAATGCACCGGGCCACGGTATTACTCGCAATTGATTTGAAGAACATTCTGGACAATTCGAGCGAATGATTTGGCCTCCCAGATCGCCCGGCATGTATCCGAGCAAAAATTAATGGGACATTATAGAGAGACCAGTGCGTGCACAAAATCCGGCAAGGGCAACACTTTCACAATTAGGGGCTCTAGAGGCAGCATGGCTCAATATTACTGCCTGTGACACGGACTGCCGACGACTACTCGAGTCCATGCCACGTCGAGTTGTTGCACTTCACCGCGCAAAAAGAGGTCCGATTTTAGAAGGTATCCATGACTATTGTCACCTTAGTGTAGTTACATGTATTATTTATGTTAAGGCAATAGGGTTTTATCAAAATAACGTGGACGTTTTTTCACATTGTTTGGTCAACAACTAACCGAATTGAAATATGACTTTAAGAATACTTGTATCTCTATTCCAGTGACATGCGATTTACACATGGCAGCCGTACACTGAAAGATAGGGGCTTCAGCTGTCAGCACACAATTCGACCTTGGGGTTGCGTGCCTCTCAAGGCATAGGCCGTAGGGGAATTCCGTTCCTCCTGAGTGGGAAGGTGTACGGGCATGGCTTCTTTTCAAGCCTCTCACTACCCCTTGAAAATCATAAACCCCTCGGCCAGATACGCACTGTTCAAGGCCATGCAAGGGAATCAAAACGTCATTGTACTTTGGGCTGTGACACATTGTGCGTTGAGAGTCAGCAAGCAGTCTGAATGCAGCCACTAAGCAGTGAGGTGGTGTCCATTTTTATGAGTTTAAGGAACGTTGAAAAAAAGCATAAAACTCTTAACATTAGTTATAGAAGCAAGAGAAACTCAGAAGATGTGAATGAAGAATGTTTAATTATTGGTAATTTGGTTATTGGTAATTAATTATTATTAATTTATTGGTAATTTCTTCCATAAATATATCATTTGTTACTGTATTTTAATAACTATAATACACTCATGTAATTTACTACTTTCAGGACAGAAATATCAATATCACGTCATAAAATGGAAACCTTCCTAAACTGGAATATTTTTTGTCTCGGTCGATTCCAGCTTAGGCAGATTTTACTGTAAGTATTCAGAATTACAGCCCTACAGTCATCTCTGGGAGGTAATTGGCTGGAAAGACGGTGCAGATCATCTTCCCCAGAAAATTTGATGTACTTTCATGGAAAAACTATGTTCATGCCAGTGTCACAATAATTCTATATGGAGGTGCTTCATTTGTTATTTACACACTTACGAAGATTCATATCATCAAATTGTGAAATTGGGAAAGGAAAACTTTCTGAAGAAGATTCTTGGGATTTGTTCAGACTACTATGTAAGCAAAGATGGTCTTCTCATTACACATTAATTAGTCGATTCATACTCACCTCTCCTTCCTTCCTCAAAATATGCATAAAAAAAAGCCCCTTGCAAGTTAAAATATTCAATAAGCAAATTCAAGTTCCATTCAATAAATAAATATTATTGAGATTCTGCATTAAAACAAGAAGAAAGAACATCCTAACTCCAAAAAGATGTCCTCTGAGTACAGTTCTGGCACAAACCTGCATAGGGGTGATATACTATTGCTGAAGAACAAGCAATTATTGCCAAAACTGTAATGGCATGCCTAACGCTAAAACATTTGTCTGGTATTACACAGTAACTATTCACAGAGACAAGATGATACAGTTGGACATAAATATTTTGCAATGTGATGTGTGATTAACACAATAAACTCAAAAAACCAAAAAAATGGGTTAGGTCACTTTTGAGCAAAAAAAAAACTCAAATCATATGACAAACTAACACAACTAAGAGCAAAGCGGGGTAAAGACAGATAGGTGGAGTCCCATTTACAATTTGGAGAGTTTTTAGACATTCTTCCATGGGCCTGGAAGAGGGCAACACAAAGGTTATGACTAGCAGCAAATCATTTTCACTCCAGCGCGTTATTCAATAACACTTTGTTTAGTTGAAAGATAGCATGCTGACAATGGCATTTTCCATGTCACAAGGCCACAAGAACAGTGAGCTATAAATATTAAAGCATAGCAGTGAATTTCAAGTCATGACTTTGTCCCGAGATTTTAATCCCATCGCACACATTTATGATGACTCATTAAACCCATAACCATAATCTGTATTCTTAACATTTACGGGCATTGTTTAACCTGTGTAAATATTTGGCAAACTATTCCACCAGTCACCTACATTGAATTTATTATTGCTGTAACAAATCATGATGCTGCTTTTCTTCATGCCAAAGGAGCACCAACAAGATTCTATATAGATAGAATAATTAGTCTCAATCATCAAAGAAAGCATTGGAAGAGAATTAATGTGAAAACAAAGTTAAAGAGAATTTGAAATATGAGAAAGGAAGAATTAAATAGAGGTGACAACAGAATAAATCAAAGCAATATTCTAAATGATAAATTACAATTAGGACTCAGACTTTTAGGTATGTACATTTTTTCGCCTCTTAATCTTGAGCATTGGAAGTTAAATGGAAATTCAAGTAGCACCCCATAGTTTCCCTAAAAATAATTATTTTTGATGCCACAAATGTTCTTACACATTTTCCTAAATTTTATATGAATAAATTAATATTTTGTATATTTTTTAAGTTTAATACTTTTTCATTTTTGGATATATGGTGAAAGACGTACCAGATTGGAATGGAATGATTTGTCTCACATTCCATATTACTATGGAACCTCTTCAGATTGAGGGTATTGAGTCCGGTTCATGACCTGTCAAATCTTCTTAGGGCCTTTTCTAACACTGCTATTGATTGAAGCAATTAAACAAATTCCTGCCGTATACTATTAATCAAAATGAAATCTTTCAAATGAGGCATAAGGTTTCACTTATATAAAATGGGAGCATTGTAGTCAACTCTGAACTTTGAAAACCTGTGAAAACCGGTGATATTACATGTTACAAATATGTAAGATTGACATCCTGCTATGTTAAACGTACATTTTAAATTTACATGTGACTGTTCCATGATAATAGTCAAAGCTTCTAGATAGAAAACTTTAATTCAACCTTTGTTGCCCGTTGCAATAGTTCTTCATTCTCTAATTAGTTACTGAAAACTAGGCGAGTAATTTTGTAGTTTTTTCATGCACGGAAAGCTACCTTCTTTTTGGGACATTTGTGTTACTTTAAGCACCATTTTTCTTTTTAGCACCTACGATCCTAGCTGTTCTAATTAGACTGATGGAAATTTAATATCTTACAGTTCATTTTGATGTTTTAATACAAATATTTTCATTCTTTTAACACATATTTTTCACTTTTTAAGCACATAAAAAATAAATATTTTCTGGTTTTTAGCACCCTCAAGTCTGAGCCCTTATAATAACATTCAAGAGAATCTGTAAAAATGTATAAATCTTCTCCACAAATAAATAGCGCAGTATTTTGGATAGTCTGCATTTTGAACTTGTGCAATCCAAGTGATTCGTAAAAAGCTTTAATTGATTGCATCATGTCAATAACAAAATCAAGAGATAAATACAACAATAATATACTCTCCACATTAATAATATACTTTGGGGTAAGTATAATGGAGATAACTCTTGAAGAGAAAAAGGTTTGAAATAGATTAATTTAAAATTAAAGCCTTTCATATAATGTGATAATTGGAGCAGAAAGGTATAATTAAAATCATAAAGCAGAAATGCATTGTTTATATATTTTAACTATCACTTCAGAACTGATGTATATACACAAGTTTTATGCACATACCCACAGTTTCTCACATAAAATTATAATTTCTAAAACGCTACAATTCTAAAATTATTTTTGCATTGCATTTCCAGTGCATCGTTTAATGATGTTATACACTCACAATCAAACAGCTACATATTGTGGTCCCCTAACAATTTCTACAGGAATAAAAATACACATTTCTCTACCTGGAGCACATCAATTAAAGACAAGAATATGAAAATACATCTTAGAATTTCAATATACATGCCATAAATAGCAAAATGACAACTTTTTAATTCATTGAATGGGCTTTAATAATATTGTTTTAAAAGCTAACAAGGAAATTGAATTTCAGGGCAAAAATAAAAGCATCAAAATAAGTAGTAGACAACTTACATCAGATTTAATAATTTATATCACCCACTGAAATATCATACATAATGACTATATAATATTTTAACATTGAATCCCATTTGTAAGTTTCTTTTTACAAAATATAAATTACAATAAAACAATTTCAGTACAAAATTCTTCTGAGATCTCTCCCAGAAATGGCAGAAAAGTCAAGATAATACATAAAGAGATAGATATTTTACTAAAATTGGTAATCTCTTTTCATCCAGCATTCCTATCACAATTTTGCCTAGAATTTATGATACATGTCAATTCACTTCATTTATTTCTGATACCAAGATCAGAATTATGTAAGATATTCCTACTAAAATTAAGAATATTTTAATGCAAAAATATTCGGAAATGCAGATTAATCACAATGCAATTAATATGTAGTGAAATACATGTAACAAACCTTCACAAAAAGTGTGTAATTTTGTTAATTTTTGTTTTTATCTTATCTGTTTCAAGATCAACAAAAATAAAAATGTTGAACAAGAGTGCATGTAATGTTCATTTCAGCAGGTATCAGTGAAACATTTTGTTGGTAGGAACATTCCCCTTTACACAAAGAATTCTTGTCAAATCCATCAGATTTTGCCAAACGAAGTGTTAACAAAATATATGGTGTGGCAAACACTTCTACTGAGCACCCCAGTATGTCATATTTCTAAACAAAATGTACATTTAAAAATTTCATAAACTGTATTCAAAAATGCACTGCAATATGTAGGATGCTATCCTAACTGTCTTGCATATCAAATTGAATAAATACTATAGAATATATTGTTTACCAGTCATTGTATATTTGTTCAAAGGCATTCACCTCTTGAAACTGTCATATATCTATTTCGACATCACTTGTGTCATCAGAACTTTCTGTTGAAGGCATATGTTCATCTCCCATCAGAAGAGCAGTGGGGAGGCTTGAGGTTACACTACCTAATTGAGTATAAACACCCAACACCTGCACAGTGCTGTTTGCTAAGGAGTTTAAGGTTTGTTGAGGTTCCAACCTGGTCAGGGGAGCATCCGAACTGGATCCTGCTGATGCTAATTGGAGTTGAAGATTTTGCAACTCTGGTATTAGTGGACGCACCTGGAATGCAAATAATACATTATTCAAATGCAATACAAAAACACTTTGTGACCTTGCATTATTTTTTATTCAGTGACCAGTCAAAGACCATAATGTGTAAAAAACCGCTAGTATTCTAAATTACAAAAGAAGTAAACATTTAATTTGCAAATGAAACACAGATTTTCCATTATAATTTTTCCTTTAACAATTGGTTTCCCTTTGTCCTTCCTCGTCTGCCTGCTACTTTGTTTCACTTTACCATAAAACTCAACTTTTACAGTCCCTGAATGTTACTCCCAAGAAAAATATTTTTTTTGTTACAATTTAATTTTCATTTCAAGAAATTCCATGCTAAATCTGACGCTACAATTCCCAGTATTTTGATAGTTCCTGTACACTGCAAGGAATATAACAAACTAAAGTAAAGTTAAAAAAGCTGAATTTTAATTAAAGTTCACTCTTTCCTGTGATTGAGAATTAAAATGCACTTGAGACTGAAAACATTAAGAGATCAGCAAATGAAACCTCACTTCAGAAGAATTTAAAAACTTAGGAAATGACATTTTTTAATACACTAAACAAATTCAAATTGCCAACCTGAGAATTCATCACAAAGAAAAGAATTGAAGAAAATTAAATTGTCCCAAAGTTTTAATTTTCATTCAAAGTTGACAAAATTTCACCCCTGAAATGTTGAAAAGTCATCTTTATAATATCGTAGTTGAAGTGAAAACTGTGTTCACCTTTTCACAGTCCTAGCTGCAGTCAAAGGAAAAAAAAATCCTTTTATTTTAATTAAACAAGAATTTCAACTGTACCAGAGAACAACAAAAGTTATTAGTTTCAAAAGTTAGGAAGGTTTTCAGTGTAATCTGTATAAAATCTGATTTTGTTTTACACAGTGCTGAGTATTGTCTCCTCATTTATTTGGACAGTTGGTTGAAAATTTCATGCAAATATTAATTTTTTAACCTCCAATACCAAATACGCCTCCAACAAATAATAAACTACATGTTGGGGCACGGATAATACAAGTATTGTTCAATCAATCAGTAAAAATGAATAGTGCATTTCATGGGAAGCGAAGACACAGTCTGTGTATACTTACTTTATTTCAAACATTTATGAATGCACACAGTTATTTTTTTAACTACTGTTGAAGAATAATTTTTCTAACAGATGCAATATTATAACTGCTGATGGCACAGACTTTCCCGTAATAGTTTTCTATATCCATTGGTCTTGGCTAGCTATTCGGACTTGCCACATACTCCTGCCACCTCCCATCTATCGCCATCTAAAGTACATTATTTATTATTTTCTCAATTATTCAACTTCCTAACAGTAGAATCGAATTATTACTTTAAAAATATCAAAGAACACTTTAAGCTACTTCCAAATTTCAGTTTTCATTGAAAAAGTTGGAGCTATTTTTAAGAAAATGGCATTGCTTCAGAGATCTTTCTAAAAGATTATATTTCTGTAATTTTTGGAAAAAAAATAATACACACAATTAATTCTGTTGTCTTAAACAGTGCAATTAGCACTATCTGTTGGAAAGGTTTGAAGAAAAAAAGAGTTGTTTTAGAGAAATAGTTTGAGTGTTTCTGTATATGCGGAATTTTGAGCTCATTTTCACAGAAAAAATCCATCAACAACTGAATCAACTGAATATGTGTTTCAACTATATCCTACAGCTCAATTTATAATAACAGGTGATTATAATATATCTAGAGTGAAATGGATAAATGATGTTAATGGCAACAGTAATTGTACCTTGATAACTCAAATTATATTCAACAAATTGATATGATACTCTTAAGCATTTAAATATTAATCGAATAAATACAATAAGTAATTTGAGTAATAAAATTCTTGATTTGGTATTTGTTCAGAACCAATCATCTGTAGTTCAAAAATATGAAAACTACTTAGTAGCTATTGATAATTATCATCCGGCACTAGAAAATTATTTAAATATTGATCAAAACATTTCTCCAATGATTTCATTTGAATATACATATAATTTTGAACAAGCTAATCTCTATTTGATAAATAAAGAGTTGTTGAATTTCAATTGGTTTCAAATATTTTCAGATAATTCATTTGATACATCAGTTTATACTTATTATAATACTCTATATGAAATCATAGGTAAGTATGTTACAATTAAACTAATATCATCACCTTATCCCACCTGGTATTCGCGGAATTTTACACATATGTTAAACTTAAAATCACAAGCTCACTCAAGATATAAATCAACTTTTGAAGATGATATTATATATTTTGTATTTTAAATTGTTGTGCCACGTGGTTGGCCGACATAGTTAAACATGGGAGGGGGGAGTAAATTTCTATTTATTTCAATTATGAGAACAAGCTGAAAATGTATTTGAAATGTGTCTCAAAATTTCAAGTGACAAAAAATTAACATTACCTAAATTATGGACATACTTTGGTTCTCAACATTTCATCCGCAACATTATCCTTAACACATAATATGAAATGCATGTTAAAAATGCATAAATAAAATTATTTTGGTCCCAAAATTCATACAAATATAGATCATCCATCATGACAACAAAACAATATAAAAAAATTCAATGCCTTTAATCTAGTTTGTCCTTTTGTTTTTTTAATAGTACATTCGTGTTGTTGACTACTAACTTTCATATTTTTATTCTAAATTTTGCCGTTTGATGTATGTTAACTATTGTTAATCATAAGACTAAATTTATCTGTAGCCAATATAATTCAGTATTGTATTTTTGGGTGTGATAATTATCTAAACATAAAAGTTGACTGAAACAATTTGTATAGTTACCAAGTTTATATGAGTAATTTTAATTTTAGGTGTCAGCAATTAATTATTAGTGTGTAAATGGATGTGAAAATTACTCCTAAGACTGTCACGGAACATTAAACAATTTTTTAAAAACATTTACGCACCTATTACAGCGAAATTATGTCTATCATTAATAGGTATAGAGTATGTGTATCCAAGAGTTTGGACGACCTAGGATGTACAAATGAGATGAAAATGTTCATTAAAATGCAACCAGGGAGCAAGCCTGTTGGGCTAAGCCATATCGAACAAATCCGCGAGACCGTAATGAACTAAATGATATAGTTAAAGAATATGAAAGGGAGTTAGCGAAACGGATTCGCAATATGCTAGTCCCGCATTTCTCGAGAAAGAAGGGCGGATCGGCAAGAATGGTCGTGGACTATAGGGCCTTGAATGAAAACACGGAAAAGGTGCATTTTCCCATGCCAAATTTTGTCAACGCACTCGAGTATTTGTCGGACGCGCGGTTGTCTATAGTTCTAGATTTGGCTAGCGGGTTTTTACAAATATTTCGCCGAGGACTCAAGAAAGTCCATCGCGTTCATAACCGAGGATCACACGCGAGAATTCCGGAGTACAAATTTCGGCTTGACAATTGCACCGTTCTTTTTTGCAAAACTGATGAGACGAGTTTTGGGAAAAACCGGAAAAGATGTAGCTTTCAATTTCTTTGATGATACGATAATATTTGCTAAAACGTCGTCGGAGAATGCGAAAGCTGATAGTGGTTCTCGAGTTGCTAAAAAACGGCGGTTTAACATTAAACTTAAAGAAATGTAAGTTTGGGATGTGTAAAGTCAAATTTTTAGGTTATATTGTTGGAGAGGGTCAGTTGCGTCCTGATCCCGGAAAGATCCAAGCTATTAAGTTTGCATTAGTCACTGATTGTCAGGCACTCATTCATTTGAACGCGAGGAGGACTAAACAGTCGCAATGGGTGCGATGGTTCGGGATTACAGCCAAATTCGATTTTCTATTGTGCCCAGAAGCGGGACGCGGATGCAACACGTGGACTCGTTGTCCCGCGCCCCGTTGATGGACGAAAATGCGCAAACCGACGAGAGCTTTAATGTTTTTCACATTAGTACTCGCGAAGAAGAGATACAACTCTTCCTGAGCGTTGATCCGGAGGTGAAACGGAAGCTTGAAATCCTCCAAAAGTGCCAGTCACGGAGGAGCAAAGTCGAGAGTGCCGAGGACAAAGGTTAGGAGCTGAATTACGGGATTATGTATAGGGTTGTGGTAATCAATGGTAAGACTCGGGCTTTATTTGTAGTTCCGCGTGCTATGAAAAAAGTCTATCGTTATTCGAAACCATGATATGTGTAGCCATGGTGGGGTAGACCCGCCCGACGCTCGAATCCTTGAGAATTTTTACTTTCCAAAATTTACGAAATTTTCCATTTTAGAGGCATTACGTAGTGTCGACGCGAAGACAACAGAAGCCTGGATGCAGAAATTTGTCGACCGATACGGTGCGCCGGTGCGGTACAGCTTCATATCCCAACGTTTCCGAGATTTCTCTTCGAAACACGGGATCAAACACGCTAAATTCGAGTCTGCACCCGCAAGCCAACGGGCAGGTCGAAAGGCTAAACGGGACGATTTTGCCGGCCTTGCGCGCGAGTTTGGGAAACGGTGACGGGTCGAGATAGGATAAATGACTTCCCGGCCTAGAGCGCGATATGAACACTTCAATATCGCAGACGACGGGAGTGACCCCGTTCGAAGCAATAAGCAATTGACGGTTATTTTCCGAAGCGAAATGCTGGACTGTCACAAGAGTTAACGGAGGTAAGCGAAACTTATAGAATTCCCCAAGATGTACAGCGCGAAATCAAGGATAAAATTGAGCTTGAGCAGCAACGATGTGATAAGTCACGGTTGAAAAATGTCAGGTATAATGTGGGAGACATTGTTTTCTTTAAATCTAACCCAATAGCAACTGGAGAGTCCACTAAGCTCCAACCGAAGTATAAAGGACCCATGGTAATTACGATAATCCTCCCGAGTGACACCTACGTCGTTGAGATTAGGCGGGGATCAGGATGGTAGGTCCGCAACAACTGCGCATGCGAGTCAGCTCAAGATTTAGCGTGGAAGTAATTGTGATGACGGTAACGATGAGGAGGAAAAATCAGATGCGGAAACGTGTGGCGATATTGGG